TGATAGGTTCCTCCAACCACTGGGGCTAGGGGGGTAGCGGTTTTTAATTTGTCCCTTTATGCCAGTACATTCTCAAGGAGTTTTCATTGTGGACTCTTGTTAACACAGGAAAATTCTCCCTGGATTTAATGCCATGACGTAAGTTTTATCCCATATGTTCTCAGAGGGCCTAAAAAACTTAGTCCAGTATTCTTTCTTTTCTTTACCACAAAGCATAAGTATCAGCACAAAACTCTCACACACATTTCACATGTACACAGTACAGTCACACACACAGTACACACATGATTTTGTCTATAAAATGTGACCTACCTTGGAAGATATATCACTGGAAACGCTACTTGCCATGACAGTCAACAAATTGGAACAATGGAATAATTAATTAGAAATAGCACATAGTCAACATTGGTGGTTACTGACTTATTTTAAATAAATTTAACTTGCAATGAAAATGTTTTCTTATACAAAGCCCAAACAGAATTTTGCACTGCCCAATTTTGACACATTTTTATTTGGTTTGCTATTTTGTTTCTTGTAAATGAAAACAAAGATATTTGTATATTTGATGCAGGTGTGCTTTTTTTATGCTGATCTATAAAATTGAGATTTATAAATTTGCTAAAAAACAACAACAAACCCAAACCACTATCAAATGTGGTAATCAAAGAGAGTATGAAACCCCAAAGAAACTATAAAACACTTTTCTAGAACTAATAAATGAGGTAGGCAAGTCATTGGAGCAGGGCTGAACCAGCTATCACTGAATTCCATTCTTATGTCAAAGATGCTTGGGTCATGTCTGGACATCTTACCGGGGCCTCCCCAGAGACCTCTCTGAGAGGAAGCTGGGCCCTGCGGCATGTCCCAGGCTTCCTCTGAGCTGTGAGCTATCTCGATTCACACTAGTAAAGCAAGTAGAGAGTTGGGTCAGAAAATAGTATATTAATAGTGAAATGCCTTATGAAATCTTCAAACTTCATGAGATTTTGCATTCAATTAAAATATATCTATATTTCATAATAATTTCATTGCTTAGTTTTTGTCCTCCCACATTTTCAAGCAAATATATAAATTAAGAAGATGCCTAATGAGGCTGTTCAATCTCTTTCCCTGCCATCTCCCCTGCAGGAAACATATAATTGAGCTTGAGAAGAGCTGAGGAGTTAGGACAGAGTGTGTGTTGGTTGGCTAATTACTGGACTGGTTACGTTAAACAAGTTTTGATTTCCTTAGACCTCGAATAGGCACAATACTAGCTCTTGTCATGATCAATATGGAGAGATTAACTGAAGAAGTGCTTTTAAAACATCCAGTCAATGATTTGACACGTGGCTTTTCTCTTTGAATGGAATTAATCAAACAGTATACATCCATCTATAACTTTTAATATTATACAGCCCACATGTCACAGTCTTGTATTCCAAAGTAGAAACAACATCTAGAGCATTCCCTGGATCTGCCAATGTTAGAAACAAAATGAGAATGATTCTTGATTCAACCAATGATACAGTCTCTGATGTTCCTGACTCTGGACAGTGAGATATTTGTATGTTGCCAAACATTACTGTGCCAAGTTATGAGTTAAAATGAGGTAATTAAAAAAGCAGATTGAGCTATAAGTTTATGATTTTGAGTCATAAAATGTTAATTGAAAATATATCGAACACTGAGCACTAAGGTTTGAATACTGGGAATTGTGGGACCATTAATTAATAGGTGACAAAGTTGGAAACTCAGATAAAATACTTGCACAGATTTATTTAGGGTGGTTTTCAACCACTGTGTTGAGATTAGTGGGAAAATATCAAGGAGTTATAGTTGGTCTATAACCCACAACCACAACCATTCCTATTTTTAAGTGTTAAAAATGCCTGGAAATGCCATGGTAAATACTGCACATGTGATTGTCAACTTTCAAGTGATTCACATCAGGGAAAATTAGTCAAGAAGTGAGAACTATGATCTTTTCCTTCTATCTATTACTTTTATCTAAGAAAACAGAAAAGCATAGTATATAGATTAAAACTTTTTTCATTATTGAAAGCATTTGTTAAAATTTCTCAAAATGTCTCTCACTTCATTCGGCTTAGTTATTAGTGTGATTAAGAGCTTTGTCGCACAGAGCACTTTGACTAAGAGCTCCCCACATATGCAAAATATTTTCTTTCCAAGAGATACTCATATCCTGCATATACATTGCATGCTGAGTACAGAAAGCATACCATGCACAATATCTTATTTCATCCTCATAAAAGCATCATGAACTAAACATGAAGAATTTTTAAATTTTATTTTTTATCTATTTTCTCCATTTTATAAATAATAAAAGGTTTAAAATGTCATCAGAAAGGTGCAAAAGGGACTCCACTCTGAGTCTTCAGATTCTTAGTTGTAATATTTTAATAGGCATATTCTTCAAGTATTTTTCTGTCCTTCTATGTGGTTTTGCTATTAAATGATGTCAAAGGGAAATGAGTACTTTTAATTTCCAAAAAACAAACTTTTAATTTTTTTATACTAACCTCATTTTAAGCTAGTTTTGCTGATAACTAAAAATGATATTTCTAGTGAAATCATCCCAGATACTGTTGAAGAGTGGGAGAAATTTAAAAGTTTTGTAGAAGACACTGAGTTCTATATTTTTGACAATTTTCATGCCAACAAATGTTCTGGCTACAGAGGAGAAGGAGCAATTTCAAAGCATCAT